CCCTCCCCTCCCCTCTCCATCCAAGCGCCGTTCAGTCAGCGGCACGAGCGGGCCGTTATAAGTTTGTTTACCTAAGCTTTGTGGAGCCTAGAGTTTTTGTTAGAGCCGTCGGCTAGGTATTGTTATTACCGATTATTCGATCATTATTTCGTTATTATCCACTCGTTGATATTATCACACGATTGTCGAACAGATATTATTATCACTACCATTTGAAATATTCGAGTATTACTACTTCTTTATTCGGTTATTATTTAATTTATTCAGTTATTATTTAATTATTACTATTACGCGTAGGAAAGCAACTCGTATGTGTCGTTACGACGATTTCTTTATGATTTCTTCGTCTTTGTTCAGTTATTATCGTCGTTCCGATGAACAGTTCCCTCAGTGGGCTTTGAGGAAACTATATATACACACTCTGAATACTCGGACGTTGTGAAAAGTGCGATAAAAGTATGGTGCCATCTCAAAAAATACTCGTGAACTAATTTTTCGCTTCTACTTTATCATAGTTGTCGGAAAACCTAATCGCATGTAATCATAAACTTTTCTGCAAACTTTTCGTATCTGTTTTGACATCGAAACTAAATTCTGAAAGTGCAGTAGTGATCTTTTTTTCCTGATGGAGCATCTATACATAGGTGTGATGTCTCTTACAGACAAATTGTATTCGACACACTTTTTACATAGGTGTGATGTCTCTTACAGACAAATTGTATTCGACACACCTTTTACATAGGTGTGATGTCTCTTACAGACAAATTGTATTCGACACATCTTTCACATAGGTGTGATGTCTCTTACAGACAGGTTGTATTCGACACATCTTTTGTTGATGTAATGTTTTTTTTAAACAAGTTTTATTTTACATAATCGTTTGTTCTTGTCTTTTATAAACATAAATTTCTTTTATAAACATAAATTTTATCGATAATATTTATTGTTTTGGAAATGGCATTAATTTATTATTTTCTATAATCTGTATAAAATGCCTTCTCATGATTTCAATGTTATTAATATATTTTTCATTGCAAGGGTTATCTCCTAAGGCTACAGTGGTAGCAAAGGCTGCAGCGAATATTCCACAGCATGTATTTGTATGTTTTTATAACATTTATGGCTACTAGGTTTTGTATTATTTAGCTCCGCAAAATTACACATTGTGCAAAATTTGTTCCTAATACCTACAAAAAGCACTTTTCCAGTACGAAAACCAATAATAGCATCAATACCAGACAGTAAGTCATAAGCATTTCCATATGATCTTTTCATCCAACTACCATCGGCTACAACAGTTATATATGGAATACCATTTATTATTTCATTTTTATCGAGAGCAAGTTGTTTTTCCTCTAATCCAGCCATTTTTATATTTTCCATTGCTGTTTTCTCGAAAGCATCAACTAATTCTTCTCGATATTTAATATACGTCTTATCTGACATACAACGAATATTCATAGCTGCACATAATTCTTCAAGTTGGGTATGACCAATTCCTATCGTAATAGTCCCAGCTACAGCAGCT